GTTATTATTTTTAACATAGGCCTCTGTATGGCCTTCAATTTAAGCTGCTTACGCTTCGCCACTCTGCCATGGGCCCCTGTACCGCCTCCTCTTGCTGCTGCCAGGTCCAGAGTGTGTCATGGGTCCCTGTACGGCCTCCCATTGCTGCTGACTTCATCGCCAGACTCTGCCATGTGCCACTTTCAGGTCTCCTTACACTGTTGGTGGGTTCCATTTTGTCATAGGGTGCTGGCAGATTACGGGCCTCCCATTGCTGCTGCCAGGCCCGTAATCTGCCATGGGCCCCCGTACCGCCTCCTCATGCTGCTGCCAGGTCCAGAGTGTCTCATGGGTCCCTGTACAGCCTCCCATTGCTGCTGTCTCCATCGCCACACTCTGCCATGTGCCACTTTCAGGTCTGCTCACACTGCTGGTGGGTTCCATTTTGTCATAGGGTGCTGGCAGATTACGGGACTCCCATTGCTGCTGCCAGGCCCGTAATCTGCCATGGGCCCCCGTACCGCCTCCTCATGCTGCTGCCAGGTCCAGAGTGTCTCATGGGTCCCTGTACGGCCTCCCATTGCTGCTGTCTCCATCGCCACACTCTGCCATGTGCCACTTTCAGGTCTCCTCACACTGCTGGTGGGTTCCATTTTGTCATAGGGTGCTGTATGGCCTCCCATTGCTGCTGCCTCCACCGCCACACTGTGGCTCCACACTCTGGTTTTGGCCCCGTGACTGCCCAAATGAGTGAAGTGTGCGGTGATTCTAAGATCGACGGCACTCATCTGCATGTCATACTGACTGACAGTATTATTTCTCTTCCCCAGCAGACTCCAAGGGCATTTAAATTAAAGGTACAGTGTTCTGCACTAATATAAAGGCTCTCTGAAGCCTAGAAACACCCTTTTTATAAGTTAAATTCGCAGCGAATATATTCGCATCGAATCGAATTTATTCCTCGAATTCGCCGAATCAGCCGAATCGAATTTTTGAATACTTCGCTCATCTCTAGTCATAACAGATGTGCACACCTGAGAACTCAGTGTACAGCAGGTGTGCAGATGCAAAAACCTGGCACAGGGATCTCATCAATACATGCATAAGATACTGTCAGTTGGTTTAGCTCCCCAGAATCCACCTAAAACTGGAATTTCATTTTTGGGTGGAGTGGTTCAATGATACTCAGAATGCCCTTCCAGAAATCTCAGCGGGATTCCAATCAATGTCACTGGAGGCTTAAAAGTCAGAAGAGGGAAGCAGAGAGGGTGTGGAGTGCAGGATTGGAACCATTGATGGGTTTCAGGAGAAGGCAAACCATTAGTGGATTATTGAATTTAAGGATGTGTTGTGGTGAAGGCTTTGAAGAGCCTAGTAAAGACAATGAATTGGGACTTTGATCCGTGTCTAATTTATATAAAGACTGGAGGAGAATGGCAGGGTGGGAGGAAATGGGGGGTGATAAAACAGGTGGCTCCATCCAAAGACTGACAGCTTTGCTGGACCTGCTGAGTATCACGTACCTGGCTCAGCTCATCTGCAGTTTGTTTAGTAAACACCACATCTGTCGGGCTCACTTTTCCTTTCATCTCGCTATGATATCACTGGTGCCACTGAGACGGGAGAATAAACGTCAGTAAAATGCAACTTCCAGGTACCTGTCAGTGATAGTGGTTGGTTGCTTGGACCGCGCTATGTCCAAGAAACCATTCATGTGTTTGTCCCACCCCCAGACCCTGGCTTTTAGAGAAGGAGGGGAACAGAACTTCCTCCCCCAGACTCAGTTGGTCCCTACACCTCAGCTTCCACCTGTCCTGTAAGAAGAAGAGAGATAACGGGAAAAGATGCGAGATCTGTGGGGACCATGATCTAATGGGGAGCTCTGGGGACCCTGATTTAACAGGGACTTTGGGGACCCCAATAAAAAAGGCTAACTCTTGGGACCCTGATGTAAGGAGGAGGGGTTCTGGGTACCCTAATATAAGGTTAGGAATCTAGGGAACAATAATAAAAGTTAGGGAACTTTGGTGACCCTAATAAAAGGGGTCACTCTGATGTAACAGGGAGATTCTGGGGACTTCAATGTAAGGAGGGGTACCCTGACATGAGGAACTCTGGGGACCCTAATGAAAGGGGGGACCCTGATGTAAGGAGGGAACCCTGGGGACCCTGATGTAAGGAGGGGGGCTCTAAGGACCCTGATGTAAGGGGAGTAACACTGGAGACTCTGACGTAAAGAAGGGGCACTCTGCAGACTCTGATGTAATGGGAGGACTCTGGGGGCCCTGCTGTTAGGGGGCAGGGGGAACAATGGGGATCCAGCAAAAAGGGGGTGACACTGGGGACCATGGTGTAAGGAAGAGAGACTCTGGAGTAAGGGGAGAAACTCTGGGGGCCCTGATGTGAGGGGGAAATTTGGGGATCCTAACAAAGGGGGGATTTAAGGGGGTGTAACTACAAACCCTGATGTAAGGGAGAGATTTTGGAGACCCTAATGTAAGGAGGGACTCTGATTTAAGGCAGGAACTTTGGGGACCCTGTTATAAAGTTGGTGGGGGGAGGGCTCTGAGGACCCTGATTTAATAGGGATGACTATGAGAAAATTCATATAAGGGAGGTGACAATGGAGACCCTTATGTAAGGATCCGGAACTCTGGGGACCCGGACTAAAGGAGGGGAGACTCTGGGGACTCTGACGTAAGGGGGGACTCTGATGGGAACTAATGATGTAAGAGGGGGAATCTGATGTGAATAAGGGGGTCTTGTTCTGACTGCTGTATTCTATATGTTGCTTTGTATGTTACTTACTTCTGACACCTGCACTCTACACACATTGTTGTACAATACATAGTCCTACTCAAGGTGTTCATTGTTCCAGCTCTTCTTTAAGGCAGTCTCAGTCATACAAAGTGACATCTTTATGTGTGCAGAAAAGCATATGTGACGGAAATGTTTATTTAAAAAAATAATGCTTTGTCCTGAGGATTATTTGTGTCTGTGAAGCTTTCAGTTGTGGTACAGTAATTAGGAATATTTTGTGGGTACGAAGACTGTGGTATGCAGTGTATGCAATGACTAGGCACAAATTCTGTTTAATCATCACCCTCTGAGCTCCCCCCACTGCCAGGTAAAACCTGGCTCATCCCACCGTTCACTGAGGTGCGCCACGCATTCCACAGAACCCCTCCCAGTGCCAGGTAAAACCTGGCTGAGCCCACCATTCACTGAGGTGCGCCACGCATGCCACAGAACCCCTCCCAGTGCCAGGTAAAACCTGGCTGAGCCCACTGTTCACTGAGGTGCGCCACGCATGCCACAGAACCCCTCCCACTGCCAGGTAAAACCTGGCTGAGCACACAGTTCACTGAGGTGCGCCACGCATGCGACAGAACCCCTGCCAGTGCCAGGTAAAACTTGGCTGAGCTCACCATTCACTGAGGTGCGCCACGCATGCTGAGGTGCCCAACGCATGCCACAGAACCCCTCCCACTGCAAGGTAAAACCTGGCTGAGCCCACCGTTCACTGAGGTGCGCCACGCATGCCACAGAACTTGCTTTCTTGCTGTAACCTGGGGTGCCCCTGGACTTTCATTTTTCTTGAAAATCACTCTGTTTTGACTTTAATGGCAATGCCGGGACGATTACTTGTTATGGGTATTGTCTATGTTTATATATTGTTTATACCTTTTTATAATAGAAGTTTCTGTCGTATATCAGGCTGTCACTATAAATGCACATGTCAGTAAATTTTTCATGTCATGTCATGGGGAGTTGGCAACCCTGCTTATCGATCTGATGGGCTGGGTGACAGCCAGAGCGATCTGTCAGCTGGCCCGGCTCTGTGTAGCGTGACTTCTGCTGAACACGGCAGGGCCAGCTGACAGATCGCTCTGGTTGTCACCCAGTGCAGTGGATTACTAAATAATACGCGGTGTAAATCACTCCGCCGGTGCAGTAACTTATTCCCAGCACGGTGTGCGATGTTCGCCATCCTGGCCACTGCGCTCTACTAGTGTTTGCTTGGTGGCACCTTCAGTAGTAGGAGAAGTCCACACTGTAGGGTTCCCTTGGCCTCAGAGTTATATGTCACAAATCACTTACCACCCAGGCCCAGCCATTGCTGTTATACATAGGAAAGTGACTGCGGCTGGCTTTACCTTTTTTTTACTGGTGCCCCCTCAGCACCACATGTCTGCCCTGACCTAACATTTCCAGCCTTAGTGTAGGCACCAGTATATGGCAGGCAGCTCACTGAGCTTTTTATAACACATATTCTGATTGAAAGATTAAAAAACCAGTACACTGCCTGCTCAGTAGGCAGGTGTAAAAAGCACCATATTGTGGCAGGTGGTGTATTATTTTTCAATCTCTCAACAGTCACCAGAGCTCTTCCTAGGTGTGATTTAACCTTATAATTGCCACACTGCTATGAGATCATGTGCATTGCATACAGTTACGGCACAGCCCAGTGTAGTACCCTCCTAGTTACACTAAGTGGCGCAAGATCCCTAATGGTTAGACGATCTCAGTAGGTGCAATAGCTAGAGGGGTCAAATTCGGGTAAGGGCTGAGAGGCTCTGCAGGCCAGCCCCTCTGGAATTTCTCCCTGCTCTGATGGTGTTGGAGGAGGGCCTTAGAGGCAGTGAGTGGATCTGAGGAGTGGTAGGCTGCACCTTTTTTAGGGAACTCAGCCAATTCCCGACAGGAAGCTTGGCAAGGGGCTGGACTCCCTTAAAAGGTATTAGACTCTGCTCAGTAGCAGGAGTTTGAGTGTGGTGGTGGGAGAGGAGTGAGAAGGTGTGAGGTTGGAGGAGGAAGGCTGCCAGGAGGCATGCCTATGAGCCTGGAGCTGGTAAAGGAGGAAACCTCAGAACTCACTGGTCCTCTGAGAGAGGACCACCTGTGTGGTGAGGAAGGAGCAACCCAGCTGATAGGATTGGTAGCAGCAGCCATTCCACAAGCGGTGCAGGAGAGGATCTGGGTGAGTACACCTTCACCCCCTGGATGGATAGGGGAAGGAGCACTCTGGTGGGAAACCAGATTAGCCCCTACTAGTGACTGTGCACCAACAGGAGCCAGATCCGCTGCTCAGGAAGAAAACCTTCAGATTGCTGGGTGAAGGGAGTTCATCTAGGGCAGGGGTGGCGAACAAGTTAGACACAAAGAGCCAAAATTTTAAACTGTGAAAGTCAGAGAGCCACACCACGCAGTGACCTGCCAAAACAGACAAACACACAAAAACACATAATTAAAACCATATTATTCACCATAACACTTTCTTCCCCTTACAAAACAACAATGTGTTCATTTCAAGGTAAGTGTCCACCCTCAACACACACATCAAATGCAACTTAGCCAGAGTTAACACATCAACTACCCTGGAGGTTGCTGTGGCACCTGTCTCTCTCTCTCTCTCCCTTCTCTCTCTCACTCTAACACACAAGTATACAAAAAAAATTCTGAACTAATGGACTGCAGACACAGTACAGGAGATGACCAGAGACTGCGGACAGCACAGGGATGACCAGAGACTGCGGAAAGCACAGGGATGACCAGAGACTGCGGACAGCACAGGGATGACCAGAGACTGCGGACAGCACAGGGATGACCAGAGACTGCGGACAGCACAGGGATGACCAGAGACTGCGGACAGCACAGGGATGACCAGAGACTGCGGACAGCACAGGGATGACCAGAGACTGCGGACAGTACAGATGACTGCTGACCTTTGGGGAGGTGGGGAGGTGGGGAGCGGGTACATGAATTTGACAGGTACCCGCTCTTACTTCCGCAGAGTTTTTGTTTGATCTTACCTGTTCCTCGATCCAGCCGCGCGCTGTCTTCCCGGCTTCTGTAATGGCGCTCGGCATGACAGCCGGGT